CCCCCCCCCCCAGCTCCCCGGGGAAGCTGGGTGTGCAGAGGCCAAGATCGTGGGCTTGCAGCCAGAACGCCTGGCGTGCGGCCCAGCCTGCCATCTCCTGCACCCCTCGGGGCCTCAGTTTCTTCACCCGTGAGCTGGGGCTATCAATCCCCACACTGGGGCTTCTGGGAGGCCTAAATAAAATATCCCGGGGGGAAGGGCTCGAAACAGTGCCCTTGAAGTGTTCCAGAAACGTTAATCATCCCCGGTCGGGCCGCAGGCAGCCAACCTTCCAGAACTTCCGGGGAAATCGCCCCAAACTTTTTTGGCGCAGCCCGGAGCGTGCAGGGTTCCAAGGATGTTAAGAACCGTGTTCTTCGGTGCTTTATTTCGCACGTGGGGAAGTAGACAGCTAGCAGTGGGGGGAGAGGGGGTCGTCTCTCTTTCCTGAGACCCCCACATATCCGCTTCCCCCGCCACAAACACCCCCAAGGGCCTGAGGAGAAACTGGGCGCATCACCCTGGTCCAGACGCGCCGTGGGCACCTGGGCCTGCGGGCTGGGCTCCGTTTCCGCGGTCGCCCCAACCTGTTCCCTCCACGGCCGCCAGAGGGCGCCCAGGAATCCCAAGTCCGCTCACAGCCCTCTGCTTAGGACCTTGGCCTTGGCTCCCCCTGGCTGGGCAAAATCATCGCCATGAAGCACAGGGTTCTACACCACAGGCCCCGCTGGGTTCCCTCGGATCTCACGGCTCGTTCCCTCCCTCCCTCTCCCACCCTCCTAGATTCCAGCCACGTGGGCCGGCCTCCTTGCAAGTCTGTTAACCCTCCAGGCGTGTTCCGGCCTCAGAGCCTTTCTGCCTTGGGTGCTTTCCCCCCAAGATCTCACTGTGGCTCCCTCCACCGTTTCATGTACGCCTCTGTTCAAATATCCCCTCCTCAAAGGAGTCTTCCTTTCCCACCGATCCCGAGGGTCTTAACGTGCAGTTCCACAGGTTGCCCACTGCACAAAGCACTCACCCAATGGGCGAGCGGGGGCTGGAGTCCAGCTCACCGTCTGCTCTTCAAAACTCAGTGCCCAGGGGGCACCTCCTGGGTGGCTCAGTCCGTTAAGCCTCCGCCTCTTGATTTGGGGCCGAGGCCATGAACTCAGTTTGTGAGTTCCAGCCGTTGTGGGGGCTCTGCGCGGACAGCACGGACCCGGCTTGGCATTCTCTCTCCCTCTTTTCCTGCCCCTCTCCTCCTACTTCTCTCTCAAAATCAATTAATTAATTAAAACAAACACAAACACAAAACAAAACAGAACCCCAGTGCCCAGAAGAAAGGGGCGCTGTTTTCTAATTCACGCAAAGGCGTCCTAGGACCGGACTAGCCTTGTCCATTCCTCTACCCCGTCTTAGGAATTGTGTCCCCCCCCCGGAAGCTGTGCCGAGGTCCCCAGCACCTGTGAACGTGACCTTATTGGGAGACAGGATCTTTGCAGATGTAAGCAAGTGAAGACGAGGCCACACTGGGGAAGGGTTGGCCGTCTTCCAATATGGTTACGGTCTCCTTTTAGGAGACACCGGGGCTGGTTAGCCCCAAGGCTAGGACACCTGGGAGAACCATCAGCCGGAAGGTCAAGTTAGGACCCCCGCGCCACGGTGCTGCCGGCGCCTTGGCGTGGGACATCCAGCCTCCAGAACGGGAAAGAACAAATGTCTGCTCTTTGAAGCCACCCAATTTGTGGTACTTGGTGTTATGGTGGCCCCAGGACCCTAGCACGCGCCGCTCGACTGTTCTTCCTCTGACGCTGCACGCATTTACAGGCGATCCTCATTTTTTCCGGATGCCCTGTCTGTGACGTCATCCGCTTGTTAAAATTTACTGGTACCCCCCACCCCCAAACTCGCAGACAGACGCGGACCGGCAAAACGCGGGAGTCGTCCAGCACGCGTAGTTTCCGGCGAAGGTTGAGCAAAGCCAACGCCCCGCCCTCTGGTGTCAGCTCTCGTCCCGACAGGGGTCCTTTTCAAGTTGTTTGGTGCCATGTTTTCACGTTTTTTGGGTTTTCGTCGGCGACGTCGCGGTGGAAGGTGCCCTGTGCAGGGCTGTCCAGCGTTCCTAAGCGCCAGAAGGCCGGGATGTGCCTTACGCAGACCGGCCGGGTGTCAGCCAAGCTTCGTTCAGGCCTGAGTCACAGCGCTGTTGGCCAGGAGCCCGATGCGGACGGATCAACGACATATACGAACAACACGTCTTTACAGAAATACACGTATCCAGCAGCTTAGGAAAATGTTGTGACTGATGGTTGGTAGGAAGCTAACCTCCTATTTCCTCCAGGAGGGGCACTTCGGTATTCGCGGATTCGGCCTTCGCGGAGACCACGGAACTTTATGGGGGGAACGGTAAGAATCACCCGTGTTTGGTTTAACTGCTTTCCGTCGGCCTTCTCCGCTTCTCCCCCAGGTAGGGGCTTCTGTCTGCCCTGCTCGGCCGCCCGCACCCCTGTGCCTAGAACAGGCACCCGACAGGCGTTCAGCAAATATACGTGGAATCGAGCCCTCGCGACCCCCTTCCTCCTCTCAGGTCCGGACCCACCCCCTAGACTTCAAACCACTCCCCCCGCCCTCCCCCCGCCCCCCAACAAAGACCCAAAAGCAATGGGGCCGAGACGGAGTCGGTACAGTTT